ATGGGGGGTGGGGGGGGTGGGAAGAGATAAACCACAGAACTTATATGCATGTATGCATGACCAATGGACATGGACAACTAAACCAGGGACAGGGTGGAGGGGGGGTGGGGTGGGGTGTGCCAATGGGGTAAAAAGGTAAAATATCTGTAACAAAAAAATAAATAAATAAATAAATAAATAAAATTCAAAAAAAGAAAAAAAAAAGGATGAGTCAGAAATGAAGGATGCACAGTCAGAAATGAAGGAGGCACTAACTGAAATAAAGAATAACTTATATAGCAATAGTAGAGTACGTAAAACCAAGAAGCAGACCATCAATTTGGAATATAAGGAAGCAAAAAACACCCAATCAGAACAGCAAAACCAAAAAAGAATAAAAAAAAATGAGGATAGTGTAAGGAGCCTCAGGGATAACTTCAAGCGTGCCAACATTCGCATCTTGGGGGTGCCAGAAGGAGAAGAGAGAGAACAAGAAATTGAAAACCTATTTGAAACACTAATGGCAGAAAACTTCCCTAACTTAGTGAAGGAAACAGACATACAAGTCCAGGAAGCACAGAGTCCCAAACAAGATGAACCCCAAGAGGCCCACACCAAGACACATTATCATCAAAATGCAAAAGGTTCAAGACAAAGAGAGAATCTTAAAAGCAGAAAGAGAAAGGCAGTTAGTTACCTACAAGGGAGTTCCCATAAGGCTGTCAGCTGATTTCTCAAAAGAAACTTGGCAGGCCAGAAGGGAGTGGCAAGAAATATTCAGAGTGATGAAAAGCAAGAACCTACAACCAAGATTATTCTATCCTGCAAAGCTGTCATTTAGAATCAATGGCCATATAAAGAGTTTCCCAGACAAGAAAAAGTTAAAGGAGTTCGTCACCACCAAACCATTATTATATGAAATGTTGAAGGGTCTTTTTGAAGAAAAAAATAAAATTTATGAACAAACAAAATGGCAATGAATACATATCTACCGACAATGGAATCTACAAACAAAATGAACAGGCAGAACAGAAACATTCTCATAGATACAGAGAACATTTTGTTGGTTGCCAGGTGGAAGAGGGGTTAGAGGAATGGATGAAAAAGGTGAAGGGATTAAGAAGAACAAATTGGTTGCTAGACTGACAAACCTCAAAGAGAAGGGGGGTTTGGGGGGTGGGAAGAAATAAACCAAAGAATTTATATGCATAACCAATGGACACAGACAACAGTGTGGGAAAAGGCAGGAGGGGGGCAGAAGTGGGGAGGAGGGGGTCAATGGGGGAAGAATGAGGAACATTTGTAATACATTCAACAATAAAGATAAAAAAATAAAAATAAAGAAATTGACATTGGAGGACATCTATCTTTAGAGGCTACAAGAAGGCACGATCCTTCCTCTGTAATAATGTACTTGTTTTCAAATGCAAAGAGAGAGATGAATGCTTTCTGTCTACTTCCCAGGGAAGTAGACAGCATGGAAGCAGTAGACAGAAGTGTGATGAAATGGTGTTTGATATATATAAAGCTGCTGGGTTATTTATTTCCAAGCAGCTTTCAGACGACATAATTCACTCTACTCCAGGCAAGTAATTCTGAGGGAGGCTGCGCCATTTTTCTTGGATTAGACACAAGCGATGTTGAGTTTCTATGCTAGAAACCTGCAGAAGAGCATTTCTGTGCATGTCTAATGTGGGGATTCGCTGAGACATTGGGAGCTGAGAAGTGCTCAAACCTGTAGAGAATTTTATAAGCGTTTATCTGAGCCAAACTGACTACATATGCCAGGGAGCAGGATTCCCAATGCTCCAGAGAGTAACAGTTTTGCGGTTTCTTTTATGCATTTGAAATTAAGGAGAGAAAGTAGGGAAGATTACATGGAGGTAGGAGAAAGCAAGGCAGGGATTGGATAACAGGATAGTTAACAAGGGGCAGGGCTAGCTTAAAGCAAAGACAAACCTTTTACTACAGAAGTTATATGCCTAGGGTGTGACTACCCACCATGGCCTGCCCAGCCAGGAATTCATGATCAGAGCACTCTGTGAGGTGACTTTCCACAGAAACCCTTTTCTCATCCACAGTTGACACCTGGTACGGAATTCTCATCAAGGCAGAGAGCGATGACAGGCAGGGGAGTGTTCAATTCAAGCAGTGAACGCCGATGGCCAGCCACCCGGTGCTGCGTACTGTCCTGACGCCTGGGATACCACGTGTGTTGGGGGGTCCCAGGTTCAGTGATTCGTTAGGAAGACAACATGCAGCTGAGGCTGTGGTTTCTTGCAGTGAAAGAGTGCCCAGCAAAATTAGCAAAGGGAAAAGGCCCCTGGGGCCAAGTCTGGGGAAGCCCTCGAGGGCTCTCCTGGGGGAATTAGGCAGGCGCAGGTGCACAGAATTCCTGCACCAGTGAGTGGTGACAACACCTGTGAAACATTGTCTGAAGTTCCTTCCACAGACTCGGTGCCCAAGACGATTTCAGTGCTGGGGCTGGTCATGTAGACCCTCTCTGTCTAACTTGTACCAAAATTCTAGACTCTCTGAGCGGAAGCAGATGTTCAGCATGAACCACACTTTTGTGCAAACAGTGGACACCAGTGAGCCAGTCTTATCAGGGTGTGGTAGGAACCCTCCCGAAATCCGAGCTCCTATCCTCCAGCCAAGGGCCAACCTTGCAAGCAGGCCCTTTTTGGGGTAGCATTCCCGGGCTGCTGTGTTAACCCTTTTCTGCACTCAGCGTTGGAAATAAGCTATTGCAGTGCAGTTGGATAAACTCGACAATTAAGTCGTTCAACTGAAGCTACCGAGCCCTAGAAGGATTGGGAGAAAAGGAAGTAAATTAGATATGGTTGTTGAACTTTGCCAAACTCAACTCAGAGCCTCAGTAGCTCCCTGCGCACCCGATGGACAGCTTTGTGGCTGCTCCAGATTCGCCCTCCTCATCTCCCTCAGAGCCCACTGCACACCCAGGGCCTCTGTTTCCTGTCACGTACCTTCCTTCTGCTTGGCCCTGAAGTAGGTGTTGGGGGCGACCTCACACTAGACTCTGACACAGCCCGAGTGCCCTCAGGCCAGTCCTGCCCCACCCGACCCCCCCCCAAGACTGCCGGTGCCCCACATTTCATCTGGCCTCGTCGGCCCCTCATCCACTACCGGAGCTGCCCCATTTGTGTTTGGAGCCCTGGGTCCTGGGGCTTATCCCCACCCCTCAGTGATGTCCAAGCGGTTCCGTTTCTACTCACAGCCTTCGGTTCACTTCGACGCCGCTGCTGGGAGATGCCCGGAGCTGTGACCTGCAGGCTCATAGCCCCTTCCGAGCGGACCCTCTCACACAGGAGCTCTCCATGCTGCGCCTCACTGCTACCCTCACACAGGAGCTCTCCATGCTGCGCCTCACTGCTACCCTCACACAGGAGCTCTCCATGCTGCGCCTCACTGCTACCCTCACACAGGGGCTCTCCATGCTGCGCCTCACTGCTACCCTCACACAGGAGCTCTCCATGCTGCGCCTCACTGCTACCCTCACACAGGGGCTCTCCATGCTGCGCCTCACTGCTACCCTCACACAGGGGCTCTCCATGCTGCGCCTCACTGCTACCCTCACACAGGAGCTCTCCATGCTGCGCCTCACTGCTACCCTCACACAGGGGCTCTCCATGCTGCGCCTCACTGCTACCCTCACACAGGAGCTCTCCATGCTGCGCCTCACTGCTACCCTCACACAGGGGCTCTCCATGCTGCGCCTCACTGCTACCCTCACACAGGAGCTCTCCATGCTGCGCCTCACTGCTACCCTCACACAGGGGCTCTCCATGCTGTGCCTCACTGCTACCCTCACACAGGAGCTCTCCATGCTGCGCCTCACTGCTACCCTCACACAGGAGCTCTCCATGCTGCGCCTCACTGCTACCCGCCTTCAGCATCTCTGCGCTCCGTCCCCTCTGCCCTTGCCCCTTCAGGAGAGGTCCGCCCCCAAACCCGCCCTCTTTCCTCTTTCCTGGACCAGGCTCCAGGTTTACAGGTTTCAGAGTGGGGATGGGAACAAATGGAGGTAACATGTTGTCTTCTCGGTCTCAAGATTAGCAACGTGTTCAATGAGCCAGGCAAGAAATCAGGAAAAAATCAGCTTCCTCTCTGCTATCGACTACAGCTTCAAAAGATTCAGACATCAGTTCCTGGAAACTCCCAGATATTAATATCAGCTTATCCTCAGTTTCCCCACCCTGGTGGGTCCCCTCCCAAAAAGCCACAGAGGTTCAGAAAATGAACCTCCAACACATTCAGAACATGCTCAGAGTGACTCAAATAACCAGAAGAAGCCAACAAGCAATGAAGCCGGTGAGACAGGGGCCAGGTCCTGGGAAGCTATGAGGCTGTGATGTGGGCACCTGAAGGACAAAAGGATGAGGAGACTCGCATTTTAGAGAGGCCCTGGGCAGCTGGAAGGAGACAAGATGTAGAGTGAATCTGGAGGCCAAGAGACAAAGATAAGAAATTTTAAAAAATAATCTCATGTGACTGAACCTCAAACCCGATTAGAGACAGTGAGCTTGAAGAGATGAAGGGACAGACTTGAGGGATATTTAGAAAACCAAATAATCAGGAGGTGGGGGCAGAGCTGGGGAAGGGAGGGGTGCGCTGTGCCTGACTCTGTGCTGGCTGGGGTCAGCACCAGGGACAGTACCTCTGCTGTGCTAAGGAGCAAGCCGGCTCCGGCCAGAGCAGCTCAGAAGGCTGGAGTGTGGTCCCATACACCAGAAGGCGGTGCCTTTAGTTCCCTGTCAGGTCCTATGCCCAGGTTGCTGTTCGATCCACTGTCGGGGCGCTTGGGGGAAGCAGGGGATAGATGTTTCTCTTTATATATATCTTTCTCTCAAATAATCATAATCAAAATCACAAAAGAACATATGGGGATGATGATGAATCCAAACAGCTTCACACTGTAGTCCCTCCACCCGCCCCTCTCCCTCTGAAATATTCTTACTGGGTCTGGTTGTTTGGTTTCGGTTTTCTCTGAAGGTCCAACAATGTCCATGGTGTGTCTGACCGACTTTGAGGCCGGAGCGCGGGAACGACTGTCCAGGTCCACCTGGGATTATATTGAAGGGGGAGCTGGTGAAGGCTTCACCCGGGACGACAACATCGCAGCGTTTAAAAGGTCTGGTCTTCTGTGTCCTTCCTACTGCTAAGCTCAGGTGCACCGGTTCAGAGCTCCTCCGAAGAGCAGTCCTGGCTCCTGCCTGCAAGGACATGAAGACCTCGGACATAATCATGGTTTTTGTGTTGTTATTTTGGGCTTGGGTTTGGGGGGGTCAGGGACAGACGGCTGGGGAGAGAATGGTTGGAGAGAGAATTTATCTTAGTGTCTCTGCAGAACGAGCACAAATAAGTCACTCTCCCTCTGCATTTCAGCAACGTGACCACCTGAGAAGATAGGACAAGAGCCAAGGGTGTCCAGTCCCCTGGGCAGGGAGGAGGAGCCTGGCTTAGAGGACAGAGTGTGTGAAAGGAGCGAGGAGTCAGGGTGGGAGGAATGAGGAGCCTTGGTGATGAAGGCAGATTGACTCAAGGCAGAGGGTTGGACCAGAGAAGCAGGGGGCAGAGCATAGATCAGCAGACAGCAGCCCACAGGCCAAGTCGGGCCCACCACCATTTTTCAGATGGTGAACAAGCCAAGGATGGTTTTGTGTTTTTTTTTCTCATAAAGCAGTTGAAAAGAATCAAAAGAAGAAGAAGCATGTGTAACATGCAAAAATTACATGAAATTTAGATTTTGGGGGTCTGTGAGTAGTTTTATTAGAACACAGCTCTGCGCCGTCATTTACATACGGCTGCTTTTACATTACAACAGCAGAACTGAGGAATTGTGACCTAGATGGTTAGGTCCACAGAGCCTAACCAGTTGACTCTCTGGCCCTTTGCAGAAAGTTTGCTGACCCCTGGGACAGAGAGGTCAGGAACAAACTGAGAAACGAGATTCAAGGCGAACACTGTGTTCTGTGTTTTCCTAACTGTTTAGCTCTATACTCAGCACTTTAATTGTTCTATTTCATTTTGTCTTCACAAGACTATTAGGAAACTTGGATTATTCCTTCATTTCAGGGATGAAGCATCTCTGACCAAGTTCACACAATCAATATTTCCAGAAAAATCTTTCTAAATTTGTGTACAGGAATAATAGTATTTTGGAAAAGACCAGCAATTTTGGACCCTGAGGCTAAGTATCTATTGACTCTAAAATGTTTTATAGCCCCAGCCGAAGTGGCCCTGTTGGTTGAGCATTGTCCTGGGCACTGAAAGGTTGCGGGTTCGATTCCCAGTCAGGGCACATACTTGGATTGCAAGTTTGATCCCCAGTAGGAACACGTACGGAAGGCAACCAATCGACGTTTCTCTCTCACATCGATATTTCTCTCTCCTCTTTCTCTCTCCCTTCCTTTCTCTAAGCATGTCTTCAGGTGAGGATTAAACCAATAAAAATAAAAATAGTTTTATATATTTGTCCTTGTAAATTTCCCTAAAGCGGTATTTAAGTCAAACCTTCAAATGAATTAACCTCTAGCAAAAAGGACACCATGGTCATCGCCTGGATTTTCTCCCCTTTCAGTGACCTTTCCTTGCCTTAGAGACTTGATCCAACCTGAGAGGGAAGAGCCTGGAACTCTTTGTTTCTTCTTCCTTCCCTTTCTAGTCCTTGTTCTGATGAAGCAGCCGGGCATCTAAGAGCTGAGCGTCTGGTCGGAGGGGCTAGGCTCAGAGACGGCCCTCTGCGGGAGGGAGCGGGAGCGGGGCAGGGGCTGCGGGGACCACACGCTGGGGGTGCACAGAAGGTGGAGCAGGGGTTGGGAGGGGCTTCCGGGAGGAGAGGAGCCTCCAGCTGGTCTATGCTGCCTATTCAGCTACCGGCCAACGGGCCCCACCAGAGGTTTCTGGGGATCTAGTCTGGTCTTAACCAGCACCAGGAATCCGGAGGCCCCCGCAGGCAGCACCTCGGTGCTGGAGAGCAATCCCTCCAATAGACAGTCTCTTTGTTGTCTAGCACAGGCTCCGCCTCCGTCCCCGGTTCCTGAAGGATGTGTCGCAGGTGGACACCCGGACCACAATCCAAGGGGAGGAGATCAGCGCCCCCATCGGCGTCTCGCCCACGGGTTTCCACTGCCTGGCCTGGCCTGACGGGGAGATGAGCACAGCCAGAGGTGTGACCAGCCCACCTGAGCTTCCTCCCAGGGCCCTGCGGGGGGCGGGGGGGGTCCTTCAAGCAGGGGCAGGCAGCTGCAGGGCTTCTCCAGAGAAGAGGTTTAGGGACAGCACGTGGAGTTAAGGAGGGTGGAAAAGGGATGTTTAACACTATGTTCCCATAACACTTCACCTAAGAGGGAGAAATTGCCCACTTTCCATAATAAAGAGCGACTAGGGTGGGAGAGGGGCTGCTGATGAATGGGAGGGTGCAAGCCCACCAAGCCACCCCCAGATGAGGCACTGTCCCCCTGTCTCACACAGTCTGTGGGAAAAGGACGCTCCACGCGGCCCCGGGGGGAGGGCTCTCTCTGACCCCTCATGAGGCCGAATGGTGAGTGTCTGAGTTTAGGATGAGAAGAGAGTCATGACATTAGGGCCTCACACAAAGCCCTGGCAGGTGTTTTTGTTGTTGTTTGGTTGGTTGGTTTTTTTTGTTTGTTTTTTATCCTCACCCGAGGACATTTTTCAATATTTTGTTCAGATAGAGTGGGAGGAAGAGAGAGAGAGAGAAACATCGACGTGAAGGGACACATCGAGTGGTTGCCACCCGCACGACCCAACCAGGGCCGGGGACAAACTGCAACCAAGGTACATGCCCTTAGTGGGAACCGAACCCGGGTCTCTCAGGACCGCAGGCCGACGCTCTAACCGCTGAGCCAAACCGGCCAGGGCCCTGGCAGGTGTTTTGTCCAAATGTTCCATCTTCCTTTTGCCCAGTTGACTTTATCATCTTATCTGACAGTTTCTTACTGGGTTATGCCTCTTCCCTAGTTGCCTTCTTTCTCTACCCCCACCCCCACCCCACCAAAAATAACAAGGAGAAGGAAAGGGAAGAGGTGAAGCCGGGTTAGAGATATTCTTGCGACTCCTTTGTAATCTTCACTCGAGGCTCGATCTGTTTTCTGCATGTTTCCTGGGGTCTTTTCCTTTGACTCCGTGCTATAGAAAGTACTGAGTCTGGGGATGCTGGAGCTGAAAGTGACAACCATGTGGTTTGGAAGCCAAGTCTGGCAAGGTTGAAATGTGAACATCCGTTATGAATGTGACCACTTCACTAGATCTCGGTGGTTGCGTGTGTTGCGTTGTGTTGTGTTGTGTTGCGTTGGATGTGGGGCTAAAGAATGGGGGGCTCTCTTGTTGACATAAAGAATTAAAAACATTCATTTTTGATTAGGCCAAACACTCTGCCAGTGGGCTGTAGACTGGTAGTGGCCGTAGCCCGTTGGAGAGTCCCACTGAAAGCGCACGGAGGAGACATGAGAAATGTGCAGCGTAGCAGCCAGGTCAACATCACGGTCACTGCCATCATCAACATCACTCACTACAGGTGTACAGTACATCACTTCATAATTTTAAAAAAATGTTTCCACATCTAGTATCTTATTTACTCTCCCAACAACTCTGTAAGAGAGGTATTATTATTTTCCCCACTTGACAGCGAAGGAAAATGAGATTCAAGATCACACAGCGAAGATGTGGTAGAAATAAGATTCTTCTCAGTTCCGACATCATGCTTTTTTCCACTAGAAACCTCAGCCTCCTCCGCTGGAATTGCATGTCCTCACTCTTTGTCCCCTTAAGTCGCTCTGTGAAGCAGAAGGACGTCACACCTTAGCTTCACTCGCCAGGCAGGTGGGCCAGAGGCAGTGCAGAGCCCTAGCCCCCCCCCCCCCCAGTCCAGAATGCCTCTGGCTGAAACCTGAGTTGCATCGTCTGCTTTGCAGCTGCCCAAGCGGCCGGCATCTGCTACATCACCAGCACCTATGCCAGCTGTACCCTCGAAGACATTGTTACTGCTGCCCCCAGAGGCTTCCGGTGGTTCCAGCTCTATGTGCAGCCAGATCGGCAGCTGAACAAGCAGCTGATCCAGAGGGTTGAGTCCTTGGGCTTCAGAGCTCTGGTAATCACCGTGGACGTGCCCAAAGTTGGCAACAGGCGACATGACATTCGAAACCAATTGAACTTGAAGACTAATTTACTGCTAAAGGATCTTCGATCACCAAAGGAGGTAAGAAAGATACCAAGTTCAATGGGCAGGCGTTACAGAAGGCACATTTCCTTCCTGGGTTCCTCCCTTCTTTTTTTTGCACAAGAATTCACTGAGTGCCCGCACCGTGCCAGACACTGGCGATACAGCCGTTCAAAACCAGATCTGGCCCCTGCTTCCCAGAGCTGCTGGGCAAATGGAATGTTCCCACACCTGGAGCTGTCCAATCTGTCACCAGGTGGGCTCTGGCCGGGGCTGAGTGCTGAGACAGCTGGAGAAAGGATTTTGCATGGATAAGAGAGTACACTAAACAAGTTCTTCCAACATTTTCTACCTTATGGCACACTTAGAAAATAATAATTTTGGACTACACACTTAGATAAACTGACCCTCTGATGGGTATGCTCACAGCCAAGGTGACCAGCCATGGAGTGCAACCAGCCCAGGCCATGCCCTGCTGCCCTGAGAAATGAGGGATCGATATCTCTGCACATCTGGAGCTCATCCATGAAGCACTGAGATGCTCCAACATGTTTGTTAGGAATCTCTGAACCAGATGACTGCAAAGGGCACTTCACCCATTAAAACCCTATGGTCAGCCCGGCCGGTGTGGCTCAGTGGTTGAGCATCGATCCATGCATCAAGAGGTCGCTGGTTCGATTTCCTACCAGGGCACATGTGGGCCTGATCCCCAGTGGGGGGCATGCAGGAGGCAGCTAATCGATGTTCTCTCTCATTGATGTTTCTATCTCTCTCTCCCTCTCCCTTCCTCTCTCTCTCTCTAAACATCAATAAAGAAAAAAATTTTTTTAATCCTATGAGCTGATGGGACGGAGTGCCCCAGACAGAGAAAGACGTGGTAGGGTTGGAATTCCTTGGCTACAGTGGAGATAGTAATACCATTTGTTTCAGTCGGTGGGCAGCTGCGATATCCAGCCAAGAGATACTTGACAGTTCTACTCACTAAGTCACACACAATTTGGCCTTGAGGTTTTCAGGAATCTTTATCTCCGATTCCAGAAATATATGGATATTTGGTGCCCATAGAGAGTCAAGGGTCAATATTGCATAATATCTGATTTAGCATCATTGAAGTATTGCTCAGTTCTTATTATCCTGTGCAGATCTCAACCATAACACATATGCTTATCCATCTCACTCACTGAACTCTGAGTTCTTCTCATGTAGGAACTGTGTCTTAGCTGTGTTTGCGTCCACAAATCCTGGCATAAGGGTTGAACAGGGAAACAAGTAATGGTTAATGAATAAGCTATTAAAGTTTAAAATTATTTTTGTAAAGAAAAGGAGCTGGAAGTGGGGTTGATTTTTGTTGCTTTTCTTTTCAAGCTCATAAATGCTTCTTTTCACTTATCCCTCACTCATTGGCTTTCTCCGTTCCTCATCCTTGAAATGGATCAAGCAGTCTTGGCGGAGTTCAGGACTAAGGTTCTCTCTCCTTCCCCCAGAGAAATGCAATGCCTCATCTGCAGATGTCTCCCATTGACGGGTCCTTCTGCTGGGAAGATCTCTCCTGGTTCCAGAGCTTAACTCAATTGCCCATCATCCTTAAAGGGATCTTGACAAAAGAGGATGCAGAGTTAGCTGTGAAGCACAAAGTCCATGGCATCATTGTTTCTAACCATGGAGGGAGGCAGCTTGATGATGTTCCTGCTTCTGTAAGTAGGGTGACCTCAGAGAGGGTGTTTTTGTGAGAGGGGTGTGTGTGTCTGTCTCTGTGTGTCTGTCTGTCTGTCTGTCTGTCTGTCTGTCTGTCTGGAGCAAGGTACTCTGCACAGTGTGGTGCACACTACCCTCTCTCTTACCACATATGTTGGTATATTGGCATATGAGTGAACATTTTAAGGACTTTTAATCATTAACAATAGCCTCATTTGTGCCAGACTAGTTTTACACATTTTACATATTATCTCTAAATCTTACAACAGTCCTGCCTGGCCGGTGTGGCTCAGTGGTTGAGCATCAACCCATGCACCAAGAGGTCACCGGTTCTATTCCCGGGCACGTGCCCAAGTCGTAGGCCTGATCCCCGGTGGGGGGCATGTAGGAGGTGGCCAGTCTATGTTCTCTCTCATCAATGTTTGTCTCTCTCTCTCCTTCTCCCTTCCTCTCAAATCAATAAAGAAAAAATAAGTAAATACATAAATCTTACAACAGTCCTGCAAGATGGGTAATATGATCCCTATGCTCCAGATGGGGCTCCCGGAGTTAACAGATGCTAAGCAACTTCTCCAGTCCACGCAGTCAGGAAGTAATTAAGGTGGGTTTGACATTAGAGATGTTTCAAAAGTACTGAAGCCTCCTGCCTCCTGGAAGAAGCCTTCAGCTGAGGTCGCCTGACTGCATGGGCTGTAACCTCCTATTTCTCCTCTGACGCAAACCAGGAAGGAACAGTGTATCACTTAAGCTGATAAAGCGATACAGCTTTAAAATGCCCTATGACTCTTTTGCTAAAAATTTATGACACTTTGTAATTTTTCCCATAATGTGAATTTACATTCATTAGAGATGAAGTCTGGGGAGAAAAAATAAAGAGAGAGAGGCAGGGAAAGAACCTTTAACTGGGAATTAATTGTTGATTCATTGTCATGAAGATATGTATTTTCAAGATACATATTTTCATGAAGCTTATTTTCAAGATTCTTCTACTGCTGCTTGACTCGTTTCAAGAAAGAAAAGTTGATTTTCACCCTTTTTTGGTCTTTTTATTATATAGGTAAGATGTGCACTGCAGATAAATTATAAAATATACAAAAGAAAAAAAAAGATGAAATGATATGTTACCATTATCATTAATGTCAATATTTTGGGAATTGTTTTTATCAACTTCGTAATGCAAATATAACATTTTAGGCTTAAAAAATGATACATAATATTTTGTAATTTTCTTCTTTTCACTTAAAAATATATTAAGGGCATCATATTATTTCAATATATATGCTCCTCTTATTTATTTATTTATTTTTTCCTCACCCGAGGACATTTTTCCTTTTTTGTTCTGGTAGAGTGGGAGGGAGAGACAGGAACAGAGAGAGAGAGAGAGAGAGAGAAACATCGATGTGAAAGGGACACATCGAGTGGCTGCCACCCACACGACCAACCAGGGCCGGGGACAAACTGCAACCGAGGCACGCGCCCCTAGCGGGAACCGAACCCGGGCCTCTCGGGACCACAGGTCGACGCTCCAACCGCTGAGCCAAACTGGCCAGGGCTGCTCCTTTTATTTTTAATGGTGTGTGGTATGAATGGACAATTTATTATTTTCTTAAATTTACTTTTCAATTACAATTAATATACAATATTATATTGGCTTCAAGTGTACAGCATAGTATAAGACATTTGTGTACCTTATGAAGTAATCACCTGATAAACCTAGTCCCCACCTGGCACCATACATAGTTACTTCAATATTACTGACTACATTCTCTATGCTGTACTCAACATCCCTGTGACTATTTTTATAACTGGCCATTTGTACTTCTTAACCATGAAAGGACAATTTATATAACAAACTTCCTATTATGGGACATCTGGATTGCTTCCAAGCAATCTGGAAGCTTCCAAGCTTCCACTAGGTAAAGTTTTTCTTTATTGATTTTAGAGATAGAAACATTAATGAGAGGTAACATCAATTAGCCGCCTCCTGCATGCCCCCCACTGGGGATCAGGCCCACAACTTGGGCATGTGCCCTGACCGGGAATCGAACCTGTGACCTGGTGCCTGGGTCTATGCTCAACCACTGGGCCACAACAGCCGGGCCAAGCTTCCACTATTTTAAACAGGGCATTGGTGCCCATGCCTAAAGCTTTAGCACATTCTCAATCTGTCTGTAAAACAAATTGCAGGAAATACAAAAGCTTAGACTTCCCAGCCCACGATGAGAGGCACCGCCTATCCCGATGCCCTGAGAGTCCAGACGGAACCCTCAGGCGCACCTGCTCCCCTTGCAGGTCGATGCCTTGCCGGAAGTGGTGGCTGCCGTGAAGGGGAGGCTGGAGGTGTACCTGGACGGAGGGGTCCGCACGGGCAATGATGTGCTAAAGGCTCTGGCCCTTGGGGCGAAGTGCGTTTTCCTGGGGAGACCAATCCTGTGGGGTCTCGCCTGCAAGGTGAGACCATAGTGAAAACCAACCGAGAGATACCTTGTTTCTCATTCCTTTGCACGCTTTTCCGTGGTTAGCCCCAAGCTTAACCCTTTCCCAAGGCGCGCAGGTGGCTGAAGGGTGATCACACCTGGCCCCCGCCTCCACGCTCTGGCAGTGTGTTGCAGATGTTCGAGTTCTCAGCCCTGCTCCTCCTCTTGGTGTTTCTTTGTTTCACACCTGGAATGTATACTCAGCTCATGGTCGAAATGTTCCTTCATCTCTCTCTCTCTCTCTCTCGCAGGGTGAACATGGTATTGGGGAAGTTTTGAACATTTTAAAAGATGAGTTCCACACTTCCATGGCCCTTACAGGTGAGTGTGTCCAGTTTTCTCCTGATTTGGAACTAAAAGCAGGAAGTCTAAGGAACCCGAGTGGTGGCCCCTCCTTCTGCCACCTCGCCCCGGCCCAGAGGTGACAGCAGAGAAGAAATGTCCCAGACAGAGATTCATCTCTGATGCATCTTAATCATGAAAGGCACATTTATATGACAAACTTCCTGTTATTGAACATCTCGATTGCTTCTAAGCTTTTGCTATTTTAAACAATGCATCAGTGACTTACTTCTGTCAGACAAATTCCAGGACGCCCCGGTCCTCACGCACATTGGGGCCACCACTGTCCCATGATGAAGATACATAAAAACAAATGTAAGTCCCCATCATGGGAAAGAGGGTCCCGTGTTGCTCCGGACTGTTCGGATCACATCAGGCTTGTTGGGTGTGGCTCTGAGTGTCATTGTAGAGTAGCATCCATGGGCTGTCAATAGCCAAGGGAGTATGTCAAAGAGGAAGCCTGGAGGGCCTGGGGGGAGACATACAACCAGGAGAGAAGGGGGAGGAGAAGCATCGTCCACATAACCACAGACAGCAAGACAGCCTGAGTGTCTCAAAGTTACATGGATTTCAGTAAAAAATAAAATTATCATAAAGTGGCGCTCATAAAAATGTCTACGTTTTTAGCAAAGCCTGGAATTCCAGATATCTGTAAATTAGTGGTTCTCAACTAAGGATGCAACTTTCCTCGTCAAGGGCATTTGGTTTGGGGTTTTTAGTTTGTATTTTTCTAATTCTAAGCGACTCCATTCTAAATGACCCAGTGTCACCAAGTTCCTCCCGTGAGGGAGGAGAGGGTACAAATGTGAACAGCTAGCATATTGGGGGGCAGTGGGCAGAGGGCTGGGAAGATCTGTGGGTGTCTGTGGATTCCAGGAGGTTGAGATGACTTGCACTGCTCCCCAAATATTTGCTCTGTTCTTGTAAAATGATGTCTAGACTTCTTTTAACAATAGCCTAATTGGGAAATTCACAATAACAAATCTTCATTATTCCACCAAAAGCAAACACTTAATGACCAATAAAGTGTAAATGGCAGCCGGAAACTATTTCTGAGAGAGTGGAGCATCCTTTTTTAAGGGGGCAGGAAAAAAATTAAAAAAAAAAAACAGAATTATGAGCCCTTTTATGCCTGACATTTTGTACTCTTCTCCCTTCTAATTGTTGTACAATGAGGATATATTGTTTTAAATGTAAAGAAAAAGTAGCAATCACAACCCAACGAGGTACAGAGAAGAGGGTTCAGGGAGGAAGAGAAAGAATAGGAAACCCAGGAGAAAGGGCACCCCTGGGAATCCTCTGTCTAAGAGATGCTGCCCCTTGCCCAGCCCGTGTGGCAGTGGATTGAGCCTAGTCCAAGAACTGAGAGGTCCCGGTTCATTCCCGGTCAGGGCACATGCCCGGTTTGTGGCCTCCATCCCCAGTAGGGGGTGTGCAGGAGGCAGCAGATCGATTGATGTTTCCCTTTCACATGGACGTTTCTATCTCTCTCTCTCCCTTTCTTTCTCTCTAAAAAAAATCAATAAAAACATATTTTTTAAAAAAGAGATGCTGTCCCAGGTAAGACCCCCAGCCTTGTCTCTGGAGAGAAGGGATCTCAGATTGGCGACCTGTGCTTTTGATGGAACTTAGCAAAATACAAAATCATGGTGTAAAACCCCAGAGATGGCGTCACCCAGTAGCCCTTCCCTGAGCAATGTCTGTGAGACGCCTGACCAAAATCGGTGGCCATCAGTCAGTGTGACTTCTGTCTCCTGATTCCCTGGAAATGAGTGTTATGTTCCCCTGATATCCATATAACACCCCAGGCCTGGGGGAGAACCCTGTAAACACTACTGCTGAAAACAAAATAAGTTTAAAAGTATTATTTTCCCAACTGTGAGACCCATTTCTGAAATGTCTATATTTATAACAAGGTTAAAATGGCGATTTGTCTTGGAAGACAGAAATGTCCACATGTAAATCACCGCGACCCAAGGCTACACAGACCTCAGTGAGTTTTCAGCCCGAATCTACGGGAGACCATCCAAAGCCGTAGAGAATTTTTATAAAATTTCATTTGAGCCAGAGGCCTGCCTGGACACAAGGGTGATAAACTGTCAACAGAGATAAATGTTTCCAAGAAAGGACGGATTGGCAGCTTCTTTTTACGCATTTGTGATCAAGGAGGGAGGGTTTCACAAGACGGGAGAAGCGAGTCCAGGAGTCCAGGCTGGGTTACAGGACGTTCGCACACGGTGGGCTGAGGCATTGCCGAGGGGCGGTGACCCAGCTGCACAGAAACATGGGCAGGGCTCTCTGAAGGCCGACATCGACCGTAGTCAAGGAGTTCTGTTCCTCGGGTATGATCACCCACCATGACCTGCCCAATTAGGAGTTTATAATCACATCGCCCTGCGAGGTTACTTTCCATACTGCACCCCTTTTTTTGGTCCACACTTTAAATAGTATTTTCCCACAATATGTAAACAAAGGCTCTATTTTGGCATCTCCATGCTGCTGGAGTAGGTCTGCCTGCTTTGGGGCCCCACTGTGCTCTGCCCTGCGGAGACCCAAGGCTCTCAAGGTCGTTGCCAACTCTGAGGTCATTGTCCTGGCTGCGAAGACTTGCTTCGGCTGCATCAGTTCCGTGTCCGGTTGCTTCTGCCTGCTGCTTCTGTCCAGGGCAGTCACCTGAGGCAGGGAACTCAACTTTCTCCTCTGTTTCCATTCTTAAGAAAAGACCCTCTTGCCCTGGCCAGTTTGGCTCAGCGGTTAGAGCATCAGCCTGTGGTCCCGAGAGACCCGGGTTCGGTTCCCGCTAAGGGCATGTACCTTGGTTGCAGTTTGTCCCCGGCCCTGGTCGGTCGTGCAGGTGGCAGCCACTCGATGTGTCCCTTTCACATCGATGTTTCTCTCTCTCTCTCTCTCTTCCTCTCTCTCCCTCCCACTCTATCTGAACAAAAAATGTCCTCGGGTGAGGATAAAGAAAAAAAAAGAAAAGACCCTCTTTTGAATTATATTTTTGTGAGTAACACATTTTGCTGAAGTTATGTTTTGGGGGGCTGAAGGTGCGTACATCAGAGATGTGGAAAAACTCCCAGGGAAACGTTACACATCTTGTTATTAAATGCTAGCAGCCTTCCTATCAGCGGGAGCTTTCACGGTTCCCTTCGGCCCCCAGGTCTCCAGCCCAGACTTCATGCAGCACCGTCTCCCTCAGCTTTTTACTTATCTGCAGTTACTCTCTACAGTCCCTGTGCCTAATCTCAGCTACATTCCTACATTTGCATTTTAATTAAAGCCTTGCTACAGGAGGGGGGTTCATTTCTCAGGACTTCTCCTTAGAAGGCAGTGCTGTATGAAATACTCACCCCATCTCCTGTGCCACCACTGAGTCATTTCCTCCTGACAGACATGGCCTACATCCCGAGCCTTATCAGGACTGAGATAAAAGTCAAGGGTATCTACTGCACACATGAATTGCTTAAAAAATGCTAAAATGGCCCTGGCTGGTTTGGCTCAGCAGTTAGAATGCCGGTCCTTGGAACGAAGAGTCACAGGTTCGATTCCTGTCAAGAGCACATGCCTCAATTGCAATCGATCCCCATCCCTGGATGGGGTTGTGCGGGAAGCAGCCAATCGATATGTCTCTCTCACATTGATGTTTCTCTCTCTCTCTTCCTCTCTCTCTCTTTCTCTCTCTCTCTCTCTCTCTCCCTCCCTCCCTCCCTCCTTCAAATATCCTCGGGTGAGGATTTTTTTGAAATACTAAAATGTTTTTACATTTTTACCATGCCATTTTGACAGGGCTGTCGAAAGAGGACCCAAGCACAGCCCCCCTCCCAATAATTCCCAACACAATCAGAATGACATTATTCGTTCTGGGTCCATAACATTTTCTCAGGGTGAGCACCAGCGTCAAGGCGGGGTTTGTTCCCAGTGGACACCCGGAGCCACGGTGGGCTGGGTTTCTGGTGCTTGGGGAAAGGAGTTTTAACTGCTTTGTTCTTTTAGGCTGCCGGTCAGTGGCTGAGATCAATCAGGACCTGATCCAGTTCTCCAGGCTGTAAGGAAAGAGCTGGAGACGGGGCTGCTGAGGTGGCCCACAGGAGGAAGACAGAGTCAGAGCGCACGTGTGGTGCCATCCTGCCCAGGCCCCATTCTGTCCACGGCTCAGCCCCTTCACCCCTGCGCTCCAGGCCCAAGCCCTCCTCTTCCTCGAATGTGCCATGCTGTTGTCTCGCTGCTGGTGATACGCTGTTCTCTTGCCGAAAATCCCTTCGACAGAAAAGGGCAGATCGATGGCTGGATACCTAGTGGATGATATTTTTGCATATCCTTTGTATCTCTATGAAACATCTATGGACATTTAAATTCTGGACAGAAGAATGATACGTATGAGATATCCCCCATCGAAAATCATACTCCTGTCTGTACACAATAGGGAAATATTATCGTTTGAAATGTAGGCTTTGGAGCTGTACAGACAAGGGATTAACAGTCAGGACTGCTGCTGACAAGCTGGGTGACTTGGCAAAGTTTTGCAATATGTCTGTTTTCTTGTCCTCATTTGTCAACTAGGGATTACTTTACCAAACTCAGTAGGTTGGGAGAGAGATTAAATGAGAGAATGTTTGTAAAGTTCAGAGCACAATGTTTAGCGCCTACAAGCTTAAGAAAGAGTAGCTTTTATTGCTGTTGTTAGGCAAATTCCTATTAATGTTTGAAGACCTCGTTCAAAGGTTACCTAGTCTTACCCTGGCTACTTGCTAGTTGCTTCCTACTGAACTGTGCACATTCCGCTATTACAACCCTTATTGCAATGAGTTGTATTTATTTATTTTCATGTCTCTCTCCACAAATGGACTGTGCATTATTTGTGCGATGAATGGATGGATTGATGGGTGGGTGGGTGGATGGACTTAATGATAAATGGATGAAAAGAGAGATGGAAAATGAATAGAGGCCCTACCAGAGTACAAGCTCCCAGACCAGTCGTCAGCTAAAACAGATTTCCAGAGAAGGGTGCCCGGCCGAATAACATGACACTTGAAGACAGCAAGGGAGTCAGAGATGGAAATCAGCGTCCTAAATAGGCAGCTTCAGAACTGTTTCCCCTGTTCTCTCTTGCTCCTTGTTACAGTCTGTTCGCTAGACAACAACCAGAGAGGTTTTTGTTTTGTGTTTTAAGTACAAGCAAATCTTATGTCTCACCTGTTTAAAGCTTATCTTTGGCTTCACATTTTATTTAGTATAAATTCTCGACCTGATCACCACCTCCCCTAGGCAATGCATGTCTGTTTCTTGTGACCCTTCCAACTCATTGCATTGTCATTGTCCCCTTGGCTCGATAGGCCGGCCTTTCTGCCTCCTTTCTATTCCTCAACAAAACTTTTGCTCGTCTCTGGACTTTCACACTTACTGCTCCCTCTACATACAATGTCCTTCCCCATCCTCGTCCCTTGGTTAGCTCTTTCTTGACATTTAGATCTCAGCTTAAATGTCACCTCCCCAAAGAGGTGAGACCTCCCTGACCATCCTACTTAGATTAGGCTCCACTGTACTCATCACATCCCTCTGTTTCTTCCCCTCCTGCAATCTGTAATGTGTGTGTGTGTGTGTGTGTGTGAATTATTCATCTGCACCAGCACAGGGACCTTAATCAGTCTTGCTCACCACTATATTCCCAGAGCTTGCAGAGAACACAGCACTATAGAAGGTTGTGAGTATATATTTGCTAAATAAATTAATCCAAAAAGGCACAGCTGGATGAAACAGCATCATCACATCTAAAGAATGTAAACAGAGTCCGGACAGAACCAAGCTGAATGGGTCACTACCTAAGCCAACAGACATGGAAAATCTCCTATCATTCCTAGCTCCACACTTTCCTGCATGAACCCATGCGATACTACAGTTCCACGGCTGGCCAGCTTGTCCCTCATAACCAAGGGCCCAGTCAAGGGACATCAGACAGCATGACAGACACTGAAAGAGAAAGCAATCTCCCTGGTCATGACTCTTAATGCCATAGCGACTTACCTATGGGGCATTTGTCACCTACTTATTTAGAAACAGAAAATAAACTATGGTGGTACTACACTGTCCTGCTCGCTTATACTGGGGTGCTCTCAGAACCCAGAATCCAGAAGTGAACAGCCAGACGTTCAAATCATTAATGCCTTTGATTCTTCTCAGAGTAAAAGTCTTAAAAGGACAGGTCAGCAATGACTGAAACATCCTCTACATCTCTATGAAATAACTATGGAGTTTTTATTCCAGACAGAAGGGCTATCCAGATAAATTATTCCCCAGCAAAGATCATACTCCCTGTCTATCTAACAGGGCAGGACAGACCAAGCAGACGAAAGAAGGGAGGTAAACCTAGAGCAGTTAGAATACTGAGAAGAATAGTGGGTACTTTATAGACTCCTGGTCCTTGAAAAGAGGCTCAGGAGGCTGGTAGATGTCACATTGTTAATGGTTGATTAACAGGAAAAGGGTGATTGACTATAATCCTTGTGTTACACACTAACTTTTTATTCAGTTTAAAGTTCCAATTGGCTCTTCATTGTTGGGCTGATGGTCCCTTTGAGGTCAAGGAGGGGTCTTAATTTGGCAACAAAGATGGGGTGCTTGTGCCGAAAGCTTGGGAACATACTAAGAAGTGTCCTGTCTCAGGGCAGCTGACTGGCTAGTACGGAGCCACAGCTGCATTGTGGGGCAGTAGCCTAAATGAGCTGAAGGGTACGGGGCAGGGGTGGTCCTGGTGTACCTACATCATGCACTGCTGAAGGGGATCTTGGGAAACTTTTTTTTACTTCAGCCCACAGAGCCAAGGCCAGAGACGTGGGGGATAGCAGCACATGAAAGCGCAACATATTCGTGCTCATGACCTAGGATGCGCCAGGCCCAGTAAATAACGTCCATTCTGGGTGCTGCACTGACTTCCAGGAGAAGCAGCAAAAAGAGAGTTTTGAGACAGGAGATTCAGGGCCTCTGGAGACAAATTAAAATAGTCCTTCACCAATAAATGAGAAACGAGAGATATTTACTCAGTCATAATGGATCGGTTTACTAGATAGATGGTGGGCTTTCTCAATAAACTACGAAAGAGCTAAACCAGCCGAAGTCTGAGAAACAGTGTCACCCAGGGGTCCCAAGAACATGGACTCTGACAGCGGGGACAGTGGGCAGACTCACGGGGAACTGAGCCCCAGCCACTTCACTAGCATGTGACGGCATCCAGACAGCTTCGCTCTCCTCTGGCCTGGTCCCCAGCCCTCGAACCCGTCACCCATCAGGACGCAGCATCACAGAGTGGGGCGTGCACTTTCTAGAACCTCACTCTCTGGAATTTCACTTCTAGATCTCAGAACTACACCTCGGACATTGCAGTACCAAATTGTCCTTTGTGGTACAAAAAGATAAATAAGCAGCCTTGAAAATAAGGTTTGAAACCAGAAAAATCATTGGTAGAATAACGTCCACCCTTTCACCCTTCCACAACATCATAAAACAGATTTTTTTTTTCTTGCTCTGATTATCTTGCTGGCTGATGAACGCGTAAAAGTCCCCAGTTTTCTCTGTTCTAACTATACTTCCAGGGACTTCTAAGCAAGCATGATGGCCAGGTCGTCTCTTCAGCCCTGTGACCACCAGCTGCTGGCGAGGCTGAGTCATGGGATTGGTTTGGAGTAAGAGCGAGCATCGCGATGCACGGGCATTAAGGCACTTCGGTGTGCTGACATTACTAGAGAATCTAGCATAAACTCTCCCCGTACACTTTTACCTTGGTGTTAGTACTCCTTTTTGGTCACGGACATGTGTGTGTGTGTGTGTGTGTGTGTGTGTTATTTCTGAGGTCGCTTTGGACTCAGATGGCTAGATCCCAGATTGCAAGGAAAAAGAGCGAAGATATTATCAAGACCATGCCAAAAGGCGGTTCTCAGAAGGGACTTCTTGGCCCTGAAAAATGTCCTACATCAGAATTCATGGTAAAGAAGGCAGAGAAATCTTCACTGGAAAGTTTTCAACAACAGAACAGAATACTGAGTATCTAAAAGATAAGCTTTTTTTTTTTTTTCCTGATAAGGAGAATCAGCCTTGAAGTCGCTCCAGGGTCAAGCTGCCTGGACTCTGATTCTGACGTCACTGTCCTCAAGATGTTTGGCAAAACTAAAAACATCATTGTCTTCCTCTATCAGACAATAAGACCGGTCTTTCTGGACTGCCCTTGTGAAGAGTGAACGACCTGAGGGCTTCTGTTCCCCAGTCCAGGATGCAAGGAGCTTCGAGGTCTCCACCCATCCTCACCACAATATAAAGCTGAACAAACTGAAACACAGTTGCCTCTGTGTGTCCCTCTTTATCCCTCAGAAGGTGAGGTCACAGGGCAAACCACTGCCCCCAGGCAGATGGGAATTACAGCTGATCGGAGCAGAAGCCTGTGAACAGAAACCTCCATGAGAGCCATGGGGGAGGGGATCCTGAGCTGTAACTGACCAGCTGCTGCGGCTCAGTAGGGACCATCTGAGAGTTAAAAACCCCAAGGGGCACCCAATCACAGGAGGACCCCATACTTTTGTTTCACCTCCAAGGTTCTCACAGTTCCTATCAGAGAAAATCCCCGAGAGCCTCTAGCAGGAGGGAGGGGACCATTCTGAAATACTCCGGACAGAGCACTGTGCTCTTACCAAGGCTGCCCTCAAGGGAAACCCACTCAGCGGACCCTAACCTACTGAGGTAGCTGGCAGGTGGGAACTACTCACCTCCAGCCCCGCAGCCACCCTGCCCCACCCACGGGGGGGGGGGGGGGTAGGGGATGGAGAGGCATCCAAGTTCACAGTCCAGCAGCTCAGTTCCCCAGAACAGACCTACTTGTAGGGCCACAGAGCTCTTCCCCTCCCCACCCCTTACCGCACTCCTGGCCTATTTACTAGAGTTGTTTTTGTTTTTTTTAATCAAGTAAATTGTCTGATCTTAAACAAAAAATTACAAGGCATACTGAAAGGCAAAAACAAAAAAATGATATGAAGAAACAGAACTAGAATTAGAACCAGACTCAGAT